TCATAGCGCTTTATTAACAATTAAAAAACAAGACTTTAGAATAATGCGAGTCCCAAAAACTCTTCAGCATCTTGTAGAGGGATGTTTAAACTTTAATTTAGGTACCTGGCAACATCAAAAATAACAATTTTTAACCCGGAAATCGGCCGTTGAAAATCGTAATTTTCGCATTTTTAGCAACTTTTAATTTTATATATTTATATATTTATAACTTTAAAACTATCAATTTTAGAGGCATAGTGCATAGGAACTTTTTTGTTTATAATGTGCCAAACAACCGAATAAAATTGAAAAAACCTATTTTTACAATTTCTTTTAAAAAAGTTTGTTTAAACAAATGGGCACCAGATTTCCGGCCGGCATCATCTCGATTCATGTTAAGGAACATTTTACGAATCTGAATATGCAAAAAACTCGAGTCGGAAAATTTCTTCCACGAATGCGAGGTTTTCGCCTTGTCTATATAGAATAGATGGAACCATCGTTGGTTCAAAGATTATACAGGCGAAGACAAAACATGCAACGACGNGTGATCCTCCACAAATTGGACAGCATGCCCCAGGAGGTGTAATACCTACAATAAATAAATATGATACCTTTTAATACATCTCAAGCACCAATACATATGACTACAAACAAAGGTGACACACAGATAATGACTTCATATGACCTAGGATGTCACACAAAGACAGTACATGCAAACACCTACACCTAAATACCATGAAAATAAATACGCCACAAACACAAAGATGTCACGCTATAAATACGCTTAGACAGTGATGCCACAAACACAAAAATGCCACAGTTAATAATACTACAGAAAAGGTTACACCAAAGATGAAACAGATATAGAGAAAGGTATAATACTGACAAAGAGGCCATAACCAACAACACCACACAGACAATGGCCACATGTCATAGACAAAGATCGCAGACAATATAACTGTAGACAAATATGTCACAGATAATAATCAGAGAACGATACAGACAAATATCTTATGTGTTATAGATGGTACAAACAAAGTAGTACAAGTACAAACAAAGAAAAATAATTAAGTTATGGTATTAGACAAGGCGAAAATCTCGCATTCGTGGGAGAAAATTTCCGACTCGATTTTTTTGCATGTTCAGATTCGTGAGATGATCCTTAACATGAATCGAGATGATACCGGCCGGAAATCTGGTGCCCATTTGTTTAAACAAACTTTTTTTAAACAAATTGTAAAAATTGGTTTTTTTCACTTCGAAAAAAAGTTGCTATGCACTATGCCTCTAAAATTGATAGCTTTAAATCCAAATATTGATATTGAGGAAAAATGGAACTTTTCCATATGTACGTTTGTAAAGAAGCTCTTAAGACGTGTAATTTCAATGCATCGGAAGTGCATGGTATTTTACTTAAATTAATACCCATTCCGCTACAATGAGAGAAAATTAATTTTCTAGCTTCATCGGCTATTTTGCCTTGCTTATTTAATATTTTTAGGTATAATCTTTGCAATATATCAAATTCTTCGTTGCTTAATTCAGACATAAAACATAAGCTGAAGCCGCTAGAAATAGCAAATCCTCGTATGAGAGAGGCGAGCGCGGCTCATAGTGCTTTTTTAATAATTAAAAAACAAGGCTTTAGAATAATGCGGGATGTTTAAACTTTAATTTAGGTACCTGACAACATCAAAAATAACAATTTTTAACCCGGAAATCGGCCGTTGAAAATCGTAATTTTCGCATTTTTAGCAACTTTTAATTTTATATATTTATATATTTATAACTTTAAAACTATCAATTTTAGAGGCATAGTGCATAGGAACTTTTTTGTTTATAATGTGCCAAACAACCGAATAAAATTGAAAAAACCTATTTTTACAATTTCTTTTAAAAAAGTTTGTTTAAACAAATGGGCACCAGATTTCCGGCCGGCATCATCTCGATTCATGTTAAGGAACATTTTACGAATCTGAATATGCAAAAAACTCGAGTCGGAAAATTTCTTCCACGAATGCGAGGTTTTCGCCTTGTCTATATAGAATAGATGGAACCATCGTTGGTTCAAAGATTATACAGGCGAAGACAAAACATGCAACGACGACACAGATAAAGATGAAATGACCAAAGATGAAACAGACGAAAACAAAACAGACAAAATTAAACAAATAAAAGCTATATAGACAGAGATAGCACAGATAAAGATGGAATAGCCAAGGAATGACACAGACAAAGTAGTACAGACAAAAGCCGATCTAGATCAAGACAACACAAAGATCCTATAAAAAAAGATAAAAGATGAAATACTATACAGATGAAGATTGTACAGGCAAAGATAATACAAAAATGGTACTGACAATGACAGTAGAGACGAAGATGATACAGACGAGTACAGTACAGACAGGCAATACAAAGACGAAATAGACAAAGATGGCAGTTTCACGCGATACAGACCAAAACAAAGTAAACAAAGGTGATACTATAGCAAACGGTACCAGCAACGGAGATAAAGATGAATGATATAGACAAATATGATGCAGATAGAGATACAGAGAAAGACAGTGTAGATAATACAATCAAGACGTAACAGACAAAGACAGCACAGTAGTAGAAGGTATCAGCAATCATGACAAAAATGGTTAGACAAAGATAGACAAACACAATACAGACCAAGATAAAACAGACACGTGCGCCACAAACACAGATATGCCACAGGCAAATACAATGGTATGGACAAGAGACAGATAAATATTGTGCACACTAAAATGGTAGCTAAGTGGCACAGAGAATGATAAAACAAATATAACAGTACAGACCAAAATATCACAGAAAAAGTATAGACAAAGATCAGAACAAGAAGACAAT